GTCAGTTAGGTACATGTAGGTACATTAAGGGGCACTGCATTTGTGTTGTACAATGTTTACGTACATGTATTTGTGTCATGGGCAATTCAGAAATCTATAAGTATTATTTGCATGTTTGTACATGTACATGTACCGGTACATTACATACGCATAATTATGTATGTTTACTGAAAAAAAGTGGGTTTGACATCTACATTTTGTGTAAAACTTTGTTTTTATGCGGAACAATGGATACTCTTGAATATTTGAAACACTGAAAACATTGTCTGGTGGCGACTTGCGGGCAAATGTAAATTTCATCAGACAAGAGGTTTACAGTCAATGAATGTATGACTGTCTCCTAAAGAATGTTCTAGATCTTGTGGTTCTATGTCTGGCCGCAGCTTGCGCTTTGTGACTTGACCTCATGATCAGGGACAGGGAGTGGAATGGTGGAATGAATTTAGGGGACACAGCCTCGCACCTGTCCAGTGCCACTCAGTCAGTAATAGACCATGTAATTCCCTCTTGCCTGACCAGATTTGTTGTTAAAGTTCTGAGTGTTCAATTCTAATTTTAAACTGGACAAGATGTTTGTACTGGTTCATGTTTGAACTGGTACAATGTACATGTACATGTATTAACGTAACATGTATTTAGTGCAGTATTGCAGTGTAGATGGCTAGGGGTGGGATCTGAAATTAATTTTGTAGTCTGGTTCTGGTCTGCTGATAACCTTAATCCTCTGGGATCCTCCAAAATCCATAGGGAGGTCTGGGATAATTTCTCAGGATTGAGAAGGGGCATTGATAAAGTTCAGCTGCTGTGCAATTCCCCTTTGAGGTACATGTATTGTACATGCCACATGTACAAATGTACCGGTACATGTAAGCAGTACTATAAAGGCATTCAATTGAGGGTTGAGAAGTGTAAGTTTCCTTCAATGTATTTTGTGTGTAGTTGACATCACTACTGGTATGTGCAGAATTATTTGGTGCCAGAAGCACACGTGGTATATGACAAGTATAAAATAGCAGAGTCACTTGTCAGCCAAGCCCTCCCCCCAACTTTGGAATTTGAAAAGTCATCATTGGAGAATGGAGCATCTCAAATGTACCGGTATTACGTTATATTGATATTGATAATGCAAACTTATTTTCACATTGTCTTGTCCATACAATACGTATTGAGCTTTTGATCCAACTAATCCAATTACATGTACATATGCATGTAAATTTATAAATTCGGATATCTCCTTTTTGCATGAAGTCGTTCCGTCTAATCCTACAGGATCAGGTTGGCATACGCATAGTGGTACTTTCGTTGCCTTCCACCGCTGTGACCCGGGTTCGAATCCCACATGGGCCATTATGTGGATTTGGTTTTCAGTCCCTACCTGATTCCGTGGGTTTCCCTAGATAAGAATATCATTCTGTGGTTTTCTGCCCTCATTATCTTCCTTCCACATCTTCTACCAAGGGACTCCACTAAAATTAAGTCGAGAGACTTATCGTGGGCCATCCCATCCAATTGCTGAATAATTACAAACAACAACTTCTGTATAATTTTTTTGGTGAAATTTCATTGAATAGAACAATATTGAATAGAACAAAATCGAATAAACCAGAACATGTTTTTTTTTGTTCATTCATGAATAATCCGGTTGGATCTTGTTTTAAGTTTAAAAGCGTTATGATTTATGAAACAATTTATTTTGCTGGTATGTATGTACATGTGTACCGGTATATAATTTCAAGTGATTGTCCGAGACAAATACCAAGCTGCTACAAGAGCGTCAGTCGCTTACACAATGTAGCTCAAAAGTGGGGGAGACACGTACCTTTATCAGAAGTAATGCGAGTGCAAAGCCCTAGATGCTGGATTCTAGATTGCTGGATTCTCCATTTTGGATTCTAGATGCTCTGTGGTGCGATCTGAGGCAATTTCTAACTACTTTTAACCAATTTTTGTTTGAGCAAAACATCATTATTTAAACATTTGCAAGTTTAAAATCCGAGCTACATGTATAGAATCCAATGATAGGCTACAAAATTCGGGGGTGGGGGGACAAATAATTTTTATGATATCCCTCCTCCCACTTTAAAAAGTGAGAGATAGGGATATGCCCTCCCCCCTCCCTGCAGATGGACGCCCATGGGCTGCTAAGACAAAATGGTCAGATACCGTACACCATCAAAGCTATCCCGTCAGACTTTTTTTCATGGCGCACAAGAATTTGAAAGACAAAGCATATATTTTGTCCATTGTACAGGTATAAAATACAATATTAAAATGATATGGCAAATAATTTGGTGGTTTGATTTGCAAATACCATACAGTTCCTGGTTAAAAATACATTTTAGAATGGTGTTTAAACTACAAGGAAATGGATGTTACTTAGGCCTACATAAACATGCAAGGTAATAATACCATCCCTCAAATACAAAAATGTAGAACTCAAGTGGACCACATCTCCTGTAAACAAGGGAGGATTCATTTCTGGATGCTGTAAATTATGCAATTTTTAAAAGGTTTTTCCCCTGTCCACCATCGCTCTTCAGTTTTGTTGTTTGTCTAAAGGCAGCTGCCAGAGTATGATGAGTGAATATTTGTGACAACTCGGCATTCAGGTCCTCATTATAGCTCACTGTAGTACTTATGATCAGAGAGAATAACAACAGCCTGAACTGTCTCATAAGTAAGGCCATTAGAGCGTGCCACTTAGTGTGTGGTGAAGGGTAATTACCTGGTAAATTGCCTCACTTTTGGATGGGTCAACAAGCCAGGGCTTGCACTATGGATCTGGTCTTGGGAAGGCCTGCATACACAATATGTCACTGTCAATGTGCCAATCCGGATACTGTCAGCTTGGCCATGCACTCAGGATTCATTGAAATATGAACTAATATGGAGTACAGTTAGAAATTTACCAAATATGGTGTCCATAATCCATGATGTCATTAGCATGTTGCTGTCAATATTTGAATAAGACAGAAGTACCATGGGGAAATAAAAATAAAATAAAGCGTGTTTTTATTCCTCCATGGTAGTGCACAAACAACGTGTATAAACACATAAATGTACCGGTACATGATCAACATGTAGTTTGTTATGTATTTCAAGCCTATAAGTTGTGGATAGTTTTTAGCAAATTACATTGTACCATGGTTGTACAATGTAGTATGTACTGTACATGTATGTATGGTACTTTTCCTGTCAGTACACAGTATTTTAATTAGGGTACAAACGTATTGTACATTTATACCATGTTATAAACTTTAACTGTTTTTTTTTCTGAACCATGTACCGGTACCCTGTAATTTACATGTACTGTACATGTATGCCCACCTTTACGAAAAATGACATCATACCGGTACATGTGTACTAGACTACAAGTGCCATTAACCTATATTTTACAGTGGTCACTAACATAATGAAATTTTGAGGTCAGTCCATCAGTCTGTGCCCCGCTTCTTGGAAGTTTCATGAATCCTCAACAAAAGCCTCTTGTCATACATCAACTCTCCTGTGGCAGCGTTAACCAGTGGTTTGTCCAAAATCCTTAACCAATGAATCAAACTGCCACTGAGCTTATAAGACCACAATACGCAGACCTGTATTGTATAGATTGCTTTCAAGTGATTTCAAGAGGCAATTTATGTGCGTGTTCATGTTTCCCCTACATTACGTGCATAACAACTGATACTATAAAGTGAAACACTGTACGGGTACATTGTTACTTAAAATACAAGTTGCTAATTTAGAGGGTACATCCCTAAAAGCAGTGATGAAAATTGTGTATTTGTGGAGGGGATTTCCATTGGAAATTCCACTGTCGCAATCTCAATTTAGACAATGATTAATGCACAAGTAATGCAGGATTGATGTGACATACACTCCCACACATACAACATGTGTCCAACCAGATAATCCTTTGTCCCAATATAACCACACATTGACACTATTATGGGCCATAGTAAACCACATGGTTGAATTCCTTTTTAGGCCACAATCTACAAAATGCACATGTACACCTGCCTTAACACTTTCTGAGGTTAGTGCGTATAGAGTGTTGTTATTTTTACCACTTCCTGTCTCTTGCTATTTGAAGTAAAGTATTTTTAAATTGGTTGTCATTTTTAGTGAAAGGCACGTACTGTACTGTACTATATATGTTGTATTAATTAGTTTCACTCTCATGCTTGTCAAGTTTGTGATAAAGTGAACTTGGAGTTAATTTAGTGTCACCATAAAGCAAGTTTATTACTAATTTAACTCCACTTTATATATTTGTATGCTCTGTAAAAGTAAGTACATGTGCAAGTAAGTATTTAAATAAATGGTAGCAATTTCATTCGTGCTGTCATGATGGTTTTATTTGATGCATGTCTTGGGCTGTGGGCATTTTCATTGCAGGAGTGTTTTGCACAATGTGTGTATCATTTACCATGTTCACTGATGTACATTTGTACCTAACATTCTTTGCATTTTATGGGAAATTTACATGTACAAACGAAAAATGCCCACATGAATGCAGTATACATGTACTGTACAGTGTACCGGTACGATGTACATGTAGCATTTTCAAGTGATGGTTGGGATATACTGATAAAGTTGTTTGTTTGTGTTTGTGGAATGGGTTATCTTAGATAACAGCCCTTGGCATGTGTGGCCTGCGGCAATAGCCTATCGATGTGATAGCACTAAATATAATATGTTCAAAATAAATACCTTGTCTGTGTCGCACATGTTTTGAGGTTTCCTTGGTCATACATGTATAATAGGTGATTTTATGGCTACACTTGCTGATCACTACATTGTTTGAAGATTCCACAAGTGTTTTTTTTGGGGGAAACATTTAAAAAAAAATAGAATGTGGTTGGGGATAATAAACTTGGAGTGTTCATTGATGTATTTGATTTCCGTGAATGAATGGATTAAATGATCTTTCAAATCAAAAACGTATTTCAAATTTTGTCTTTGAATTTATTTCCCTGATATTGTTCTTTCCTGCTTATTAGGTTTCCTTTGAAGAGCAGGACATCAGGTGAAAGTCAGGTGTGTGATCAGTAGTACATGTAACAGGTATGTATGTAGTTTGTATACATTTTGAGAGTTAGTGTGGACTCTCCCCCCCCCCCCCCCCCCCCGGCCCCCTACCACCAGTAGTTATGAGAAAGGCAAAGCATTTTGTCTGAAGCATTGATTTTCATTGAGCAGAGCATACTGTTTGTATCATTAGTCATGGCATGGAGCGGGTACCGGTGTCACATGAAAATCCGACTCCTATGAAAATCGGACCCCTATTTCCCTATTATTGGTTGATCCCTCGCACGTGACAGGTCACTCTCCCGAAACGATCCTAAAAATAGCATAGTATCGTACCCACGCCTGCGCAGTACTACCAATGAGTCCACATTTCATGGAGTCGGATATTCACGCTACACCGGTACATAGAAAAAAAAATTGTTAAATTGTCTTTAATTTAACTTCTTTTAAAATTATCTTGAGTAAATAAAAAGAAAATTAGATTCATGTACACTGTAAAAAAAGGTACTGTTTTCTCAATAGGGCCAATTCATTTTCATCTTCATGTTTTTGCAATACCACATAAGGGCATGTCGGAAAATATTTTTTCTTATTCCTTCGTGGTACAATGAACATTGTACATACCGGTGCATCCACGTACCGGTACAGGTACCGGGTACCTTTACCATCCGTCATGTTTAGTTGGCATTGTCCATCTTCCAAGTCCCTCCAAAGGAACAAAGTAGGCCTCACAGAAATGTTGATTGATCGTTGGCAAACAGGGGAGCTTCTTCAGGATAGAAAGTATATTTACTTGTCACTCATCCTCTGCATGGATAAATTTATTAATCAGATTGTCCAGTTCATTTGTTGAAAGCAACGTAAAAAATAATCGTCTAAACAGTTGAAATGTGTTCAGCTTTTGGGAATTTGCAGTGCTACCGGTACATGCATGGTAGCATGTTGTACGAGGTCACTAATTTGTATTTTGCATAATGTTCATCCACTTTGTGCATCTTTAATCGTTAACTTGATTGATCCTGTCAGAATAAAGTACCCTGGTAGTACATGCAGTACATTCTGATCATCTGTGTGAATGTTAATTTTTTTTTAAATTTCAATTGATTTCTGTATTTTTCCACAGTGTTTTTTTTTTAATATTAAGTTGTTTGTTTGTCAGTGGAGTCTCGACCCACACTTGATTGACAGAACTTTGTTGCTTTTCAAAATTTTATTGACCAGGATCTTCCTGGGTGACTAAGATTAAATGCAAACTTTCACTTTGAGGACATCAGATGATCCGATCTGGATTTTCCCCTCTCATACCATTACGTTGTAAACAGAGATTGCACAATTCCCGTCCCCGCGTTCAAAACACAGGATGCAGACTGCAGTCACAAGATACGTACGGTATAATGTTGATCTGTTTGTAATGAACTTGGCTCCAGTCCAGCATCATGGTATTTTGTATGCCATTACTCATTGAAATATTTTGGTCAGTACGTGTTTCAGCGCCATAAAATACATACATCCACCTGGTACATGTGCTGACCACGTGCTTGCTAATTCAAATAAAATTTTATGCACTGTTTGTTCTTTTTAACAGGTCTGTCTGAGTAGATTATGTTTTGTGTGACTGAGGTTGATAAAATCATGAAATTACTCGGCATTATTCATATGTTGTGAATATGGTATTTAAAAAAAAAATAGTATTTAATGATCACAAAAAATAAAACAGACTAAAAAAATAACAAGGAAGTATTAAGTAGAGAAAATTACACCAATATGTACTGTATTTTTGGTAAATGGAGATCTGAATTTAAGGATGCATTGGTAGAGTACCGGTACATGTACGTGTACAATGGTTGTTAAAAGTTCTGTATTTAGCATTGGCAGGCATTAGAGTTGAACAGTTTTTAAAATGAAAAGCAATCACATCCCAGCAAATCACACATTCATGTTACGTACATCATCTGCGAGATTATTTGAATGACATGCATGTGTGGACATTGTGCATTTATGCAGCTAAAATTAGATTACAGAGCTGAATTAGCTTGGATTAAAGGTTTGTTCAGTAAAAGGCCAGTGGTCTGAACAGATGCCTATATCAATCTCAGTTGTACAAGTATATGTACTGGTAGCTAAAGAAGGAAAATGCAACCTGAACCATGTCAATCAGTAGTCTTAAAAACAACTTTTACAGACAACTGCATCATGTATGCAGAGTCTTAAACAAGTTTGTACGTATAAATACATGTACCATGTACATGTACATATGTACGTACGTGTACAGAAGCAGTGGGGTTACATAGACATGTACATGTACACAAAGTACTGGTCAGTACAAGTGGTTCACATTTTTCACTTAAACATGGAGACACTCAAGAAGTTGGTAATTCTTTACAAAACGTACATTGAATTATGGCCTTGCCAGAGGTACATGTGTACTGTATGCATTCCTAAATCGTTAAAGATACCGGTATAGTCCATCATTTGTAATTTGTGCATTTTGTTCGTTTGAAGCAACAAAAGTGTGCAAAATCTAATGAAGGATACTGAACAACTAACCTGATGAAGTTTCAGCTAAGCTTCAGCTGTACATTTGTATATTCCAAGAAAAACAGCATTCAAGGATCTCAATCTCAAATCAAAAGTTACTGAATCATGTTTTGAATTGTTTTGAATTGCAGCTATACATGCGACGTCGCGCACTGATCCGACGAATTATAGCAACCGCGCTCGTGCGTGTGCGTCGTGCCAACGCTTGCGCGCGCTTCGCCGAATAACAAAACGAACTACTAATTTAAATTTTCCTACAGTGCGTTTTAAGACGCACCATTGGAAAAGCCTTCTTTCGTTGATTACTTCAAAATGACAGCTTCCCAGAAAGAATAATTTCACAGGGAGTTTACATGTAGTTCCCTTACTATCTTTCAACCAAGTTTGTTTTTCAACAATAATTACGCCAGTTCTTTTCGGATGGCTGCAAATGATGGACTATAGCTTTAAATCGTAGTGTTCCACTTCACAGCAGTCTACGGTACAATTGTTTGTTAAATATGTCACTGTTGCCTGAACTTATCAGTAGCTACTAGACTACTGGTGACATATGGCTAGGCTGAAATTACCATACTTCACGTGCCAAAGTACTGTGTAACATGCTAACATGAGCTTGTAAACCTCAACAAAGAGCCTTTTTTTTGCAAGGAAGATTATTTTTTTAACTGAAGTTCAGCTGTCAGCATTGTCCCTGTTGATTTGATGATATTCAGCATCAACTGGTTGGTACTCCTGTTTGTACAAAATGTATGCGTGGGTGTCCAAGTGCATGGCATCTTGTGCATTTTATAATGGGATGCAGAATGACATTGGAGCAGTGTGCTGAGCTGAGACAGATCCATCATGCCCCAGGCATTGCTAATGGGTTTCCTTGACGACAGGCGAAATGGGGAGAAAGTCCATGAATGTCAATTAAAGATAAACTAAATTTCACACAAACCCTTGCTGGGGGAGGGGGACCTCACAGACACAGACACAGACCAGCATGCAAGACTAAGCCTGGCAGTGTGACACGTATACATGTACCGTATTCAGTACTAACAAAATGTTTATCAAATGGAATAATATAAATGTTTTTAATAGGGATAATTGGCAGTTATGCAAAATAACCAAAGTCTGATCAATACATAAAATTTAACTACATTTTGATTTTTTACAATATTTTATTGCCTGTAACTCTCATCTTTTTTCCACAGAAACCTGGAAAATATACACGAAAAGTGCAATTAATTTGTCGGCAGACCTGTTGTCAGAGAGCCATCAATATCCAGTGTTAAAATGATATGATACCGGTACCGGTACATACAATTTACCACTGATATATGATATAACAATTATCAATTAACAAACATGCAGTGTGAGGTTTTTCCTCATTATGTCCCCCATCAGAATAAAAACATGTGTAATTTCACAGAACTGCATGGTTCATATCGGGGGTAATTTGGAAATCATAGTCGGGCAATTGAAAATGAAACAAAAACCATCAGAGAATCTAGCACGCAAAGTGACATCGATTGAAAGCAATATGGCCTCGCTGCTTGGGTTTCGGTATCATCCAAAATTGATGTCTGGTTGTCAGACAGACGGGATAGCGCTATGTAATTCTAGCATCATGCCAAGTTTAAAGGGACACACTCACAAACGTAGTGAAAACTTTCACTTCATTTCTATGAAGCAAGATACAGGCCCTAAATGTAGTTAATTGTAGGACTGGATGAGTTAATTTGTGAAGTACATTTGTATTTCAGCTCTGTTCAGTTCAAAGTACATGTACCCGAAACAAAAGATGCAATATAGCTGCTTTTGTGGACATGTATTTTTTATTATGTACCCATGTTCATGTTACATGTACATGTACCAGTAATAACCTACATTTAGAATAATTTACGGAATGAAAACACCCAAAATCTTAGGTTATTTTCTTTTACACGTGTACTATTTCTTTATGTAATGTGAACACTATTCGATACGTATACATACATGTAAAATGTATGCTAGCTGATTATAAGATGGAATTTTTTTTGCGCCGGGTGATATAAATCAAATTAGGTTTTGCCCTTCACCGAAGTTTTAAACACTGAATACTCAGTGTGTTACCTCCCGAGTGAAAGTTGGAAAATTATTTCCAACTTTCACTCGGGAGGTAACACAGTGTTATGAGTATACAGTGTTTAAAACGTTGGTGAAGGGCAAAACCTAATTTGATGTATGCTAGATGGTTTTATAAATGTACATGTACGTTTACAATGTGCACTAGTATTTCCAATCCACATTTTCTAGTGAAATAAGAGATGTTGCCTCATGACTTCTAAGTTCTATTCCACAGGTTTGTTAGGTGCCTGTCTCCCAGCGTTCAGTATAGAGATTTTGGGTTTGTAAGATGAGTAACTTGAATTCCAGATCCATTGCATTTTTCTGAAAGCAAAATTTTAACTGCAAAAATTCCCTTGGATTATTTCCTGAAGCCTCCT